ATTTTTACAATGTACAAACTAGAAAATGACCTATGCCTTGAACATGATTAGGGAGAAGTCTTCTTATTTATTTATTCGTCCTCTTTTTCATTTTTCTCTAGACATTATGCATGTATATGTGTATCTTTGTGAGAAATTATAACTTAATAAGATGTGATTTATATTGCATTCAATGTGTGACCTATTTTTAGTAGGCCATAATACATTATAATTGTTATGTTTTTTTTAGCAAATTTCACACATCTTAGATTACATAAAATGTTATTACAATAGTTGAATAAAAATAATAGGGTAGATCTTTGTATTTGTTGCTAGGGCCTTAAGGGCTCTTTTTCTAGAAAAATTAGACCATATGCATTACAGCATTAAATTTAGATGACTTAACATAATATAGGGTGAAGTAATTAGAGGGAAAATAAGAAATGAAAGCCATTCATATGAAACCCAAAAAAATAATAAATCTCATCATTGAATCTCCTTTTTCTTTAATTCAAACAAAAATATAATTTAAAAAGTCTTTTTTTCATAGAAAAAAGTTTAAATGAGTTGGGTTCCAGGGGTTCACTAGAGATAGGATATGCTTCTAGGTTTAATGAGCAATTATAAAAGTAGTTATAAATCACCCACTAATAAGGTCCTCAAATTGGCAACAGAATTTGATTATGCAACTTTGTCAATTATGAGTCAAATCTTTACCAACTGAATAAATCTTTATTGATATATAATTTCAAAAGTCTTGATTATTCTAAAAAAGAAAAAATCTTGATTAGTAAATCATAATATTTAACCAAGCTTTGAGTCCAATAAAACATAACTAATTAATTAAGTTGTTGATTATCGTTAAACATATCTTCTCTAGTCTCATTGCTTAATCATTACATTGTGTATTATAACTTTAACATATATATGCTTGTGAAAGGCAAAACAAAATTATAGTTAGCCAACTTTGTAAAATAGATTTGATAAACATAATGTGTCAATATTCCAAATAGTAATTGAACAAAATGTTTGAGTAGACCACCATGAATTTTTTACATAATAATTTTTCCCTAATGAATCTGCTTAGGTTAGATTTAACTACTCTAATACTACACAAATGATAGAAACGGTGATGAAGATTCATATGAAAAGAAACCAATTATCGAAAGCACAACTAATAACTATATAAGGTGTAGTGATTTATGATAAACTAATTTGAAATAAACTAATGAAACTCGTAAAATACAAAGCTGAAAGTGAGACCAAGTACTCATCCATTGTGTCTACTTATTTTTATGCAACACATGCTCAAAACAAAAAAAAAACATAAATATAGTTTGTATTGATAATTTGAAGAGATTACAATCTACTGAATTTTATAGGAAATATTATAATGCATAGTTTTCTCCCACAATAAAATGAACACATACTTTTACTTTCATTAAAGTTTGAAATTACACCTTTATATGGCTTATAAATTTTTAATGCAAAAACCCTTCATTTAGTGCCACACTATTTTAAATCTCTCTATTTAATGCCCTCCATCTAACATGGGTATAATTGGAAACATGTAATGGTTATAGCTTGAAATTTTGGAACATACATGTATAATATGAACATGTAAATTAGAAAAAGTAATTAGGGATAAATTCACACTAGATATTCAATTACCTTTGGTAAATAATCTATTTCCCTTGTACTCTTTTGAAGGTGGCATAAGGTGATTTCAATTTTATTGCAATATTGCTTGTATTGATAAATGATTTTTGATGAACAATAGATGAGCGTCTTATTACTAAACACATGCTATATTTTTATGCTAGTTTATAGTTAATTGTGTAACAGGCCTTGGTTTATGTTGTTTGGAAATAATGAAAAAAATCTGTTGCCCCTAATCCATCTTTCTTTATTGCTAAAAGGTAGGTCTTAGTTTATATATAATATCTATCTATCTATTTTTATTGTAATGTTTATTTAACTATTATAGATCTATAGATATTTATTTAGTTGATGATGCACTAAGCTAAGGCGATGGGTGTCAGATAGTTGTTTAGTTGAAGCTGGTGGTGGGCATGTGTCTAGTAAGGGTCTAGAAGGTTGCGGTGTTTTATACTAGGTTTGGGTTTAGTTATAGAATAGGTTAGGCTCTTTTTGTGGCTTAGTTATATTTTGGTGAAGCCTAATGTGATTAGATTGCATTGGACCCGTTAAATAATTTGTCATTTGTTTTCTTTAGATAAACAAGGAAGTAAAAAGATTAGAAAAGCTACATTCCAATATGTCTTTAAGTTTAACTTTCATCATAGACATATTAGAGTTCAAATTAATAGAGATAACAATGATGTTAATAAGAGTAACCTTTTTAAATGTCAAGTAGCTTGAATACTTAATGAGTCCTTTCTTAACATCATTAAAGTATCATGGAAGGAGGATAGAAATTGAAAGGAAGGTGTCAATATATTTGTTCATTCTACTGGCCACTAATTAGAACAAGAATGAGTTTGGGAAAATTAGTGGGAAAAGAAGAAGAATTATGAATAGATTAGAAGGTATTGAGAGGAAAAGGATGGTGGTTGATAACTCTTTTCTTAAAAATTTAGAAAAATCTCTTCAAGATGAACACAATAAAATCCTTATACAAGAAGAATTGATTTTGTTTCCAAAGATGAGATGTAAATGGCTAAGTTGGGATGACAAGAGCATGATATTCCTTCATGCCTTAACAATTGTAGAAAGGAAAAAGAGTAGGATTCATTATCTTTAAATATGACAATGGTCAATGGGAAGAAGAGCAAGATGAGCTTTGAAATAGGGAAATCTCTTTCTTTTACAACCTTTTCATAAAAGAAAATGAAACTAGACCCAGAGTATCAAATTATCACTCCTTTCCAGTATCAGGAGAAGATCATTTGGATGATATTCATAGAAAGGTTACTAATGAAGATATTGGAGTTGTCATGTTAAATATCATAGTTTTTAAGGCTCTAAGTTTGGGAGGTTTACAGATAAGGTTTATCCACACTTATTGGAATGACCTTAAAAGAAGCATAAGCAATTTGTTTAGGAAAGTGTTCACCAATTTGAACTCTATATATGATATTGTTATGATGTTTCTCACTCTTATCCCTAAAATTTAAGACCTAGAAAGCTCAAAAGATTCTCATCCAATTTCACATTGCAATGTCAGCTATAAAATCATCACAAAGCTTATTGCTAAGAATTTGAAAGATTGTATAGGATAACTTATCAATGATAGTCAAAGTAGCTTCATCAACGACAATTAGACTAGTGATAATAATATTATTGCTTTATAGATGATATGCTAAATAAAATTCAAAAGTAGAAGGAATATTAAAAAAGTACTTTATCCGTTACAAAATATAGAGTATTTTTTAAAAATTAAATATTAAAAAATATAAGACATTTTTAATTTTTTAAAAAATAATCATTATTTTTTAAAAAATATTTTTATTAATAATAATTTTATATTTATTATAAGGTGTTTAATAAAAATAAATATAAAAAATAGAATTAATTTAAAAATAAGTAATTATTTTATTTAAAATAAAATTTATTTAAAAATATTTTATATTTTTAATAGGAGGAAAGACATTTTATCTGACCCTCGCAATACCTCTTTCTCTCTTTTACGTGATGATTTTGACGTTTCTGCTTCTTGACTTCACTTAAAAGACGCCAACATTTAGTTAATACAAGGGGAAGGGGGGAGGGTTTAGAGAAGTTTTATATATTTTAACTACAGCTAAAAAATAAGGTTATTTATTTATCAATTTAAGTTATTTTTATTAGTAAGAATAAATGGCACGATGCTACAAAAAATAATTAATTTTTCTATATAGTCTTTAGGCAACATGGCCAGCCAATCTCAACATTATTAAACAATAAACCCGGCCCACGATCTCATGATTTCAAGTTTTTAACATGTATAATTTACGCTTCTAACGGACTACATTAATATTATATATACATATACATATATATATATATATATATATAAAACTATATATATTAATGAAGAGAGAGCAAGATAGTTAATTAGCTCTTAGGAGAACGTGGTCTGAACACAAATCCACAATGACAGTATATATGCAACGCATGTGCCCCAAGAGCACACTTAATCAAGGATAACAATTTGAAGTATTCATCGCCAATGAACAGCACACGCAAATTAACGCATCCAGTTGTTTAATATACGTAGATATCTATCTACTGTTGTTTTCTTTCTTTCTTTCTTTTTTAATTGACTGTTAATGTAATTTACCTTTTTTTTTTGGTTGTCTTCTTTGATTATTAGTATAACATTTTACATGATTAGTCGTTAGTCTCTTCCATGTACAAGTCAATTCACTTTAACTACCTACTCTTTTAATTCAAAAATATAAAGTATTTTTAATTGAATATCACATTTCAATAAAGTAATTACCTACTTTCAATTTAATCTTATTTTTTTATATTTAACCTTATTAAACACTCTACAGTAAATATAAAGTCATCCATCAATAGGGATGTTTTTTAAAAAAGACAACAATTACACTTTAAAAAATTAAAAATGTCTTATATTTTTTTATATTCAACTCTTTAAAAAGCATTTTTTAATAGAGGAAATATACAATGTGCGTCACTGTTCTATTTTTTTGTTTTTTCAAACAAAAATGATTAGGAAAAGACTAAATACTAGCACTTCTTTTATATGGTTTTGATTGGGTTACATTTTCTATATTTACACAAATTTGGACACAAGACCAACCACGTGCTTAGTGGTCATAGCTCCTTTAATTATTAGGAGAAACTAATTCTTATTTTAAATGCAACTTGCAATTTCTTGTGCTACTTTCAAACACAGAAGTGGTGCTGTAAAAAAAGAAGTGGTTCAATAAGAAGAATAGACAAACCGACAATTTTGAAATTCAGCAAGTCATTGTCAGCGTTGCAAATTGTATTTATAAACTCCTAATCTGCAAATTGCATGCTTTCGTCTGTTACAAGTCAATCCCAATGCATCAATCTCGATATTTATTGTCAGTTCCCATTCCTTTACTCTGCCTCACCGTTGCTTCTCTTTTAGAAACTTCAGCTTTCCTTGTAAGTGATGAACTCATTTTGATCTTCAACGTTTCCAGGTATCATCACCCTCCATAACTTTCCATGTAACTTTGCTATATCTTTATTTATATCTCACTAGCTAGCCCTTCGTCATCAGCAAATTCTTTTTTCCTGGTTAGTAGGAAACTCTTTTAGATCTTCATCATTTCCTATCTTTCCCATGGTAAATGGTATCATCACTCTCCACAATTTTTTAAGGTCAAATGACTTGATTTATTGGTTTCTATCAGTAGGAAGCCATTAATGACAAGGTTAGCAGCAACCTCTTCTTCCTTCCACTATCAATGGACTTATGATGTCTTCATCAATTTTAGAGGTGAAGACACCCGTCATGGTTTTACTGGAAATATGTATCACGCTCTAAGTCAAAAGGGAGTTCGCACCTTCATTGATGATGAGGAACTAAGAAGAGGGGATGAAATTACACCAACACTTCTCAAAGCAATTGAAAATTCTAGGATGGCTATTATTGTATTTTCTAAGAACTATATTTCCTCAACATTTTGTCTCAATGAACTTGTTAAAATCCATCAGTGTATTAAGGGAAAGTCTCGGCTAGTTTTGCCCATTTTTTATGATGTGGAGCCTTCAGAAGTGCGACATCAAACAGGAAATTATGAACATGCATGGACTATGCATAAAATAAACTTCAGAGCTGATAAAAAGAAGATACAGAGTTGGAAGCTTGCATTGCATGAAATAGCTAATATCTCTGGCTTACATTTTAATCCTAGGTAAGTCAAAACTTTTTTCCTCTTTTTTCTTTTTGTTTTCCTAACCTTGATTCACAAGAGGCTATATGTAAATAAATACAAATTTATTGCATACAAGCATGAATAGGATGTAATTAATTACCGTTGACAATCTTTTGTTGTTGTAATTTTTCAGGCATGGATATGAATATCAATTTGTTGATAGGATTGTGAAAGAAATCTCTGGTAAAATAAATCGAGTTCCTTTACATATTGCTAAATATCCTATTGGGTTAGACTCTCGAGTGCAAAAAATTAACTCTCTCTTAGAAATTGAGTCCAATGACAAGGTCTACATGGTAGGAATTTTTGGAATTGGTGGAATGGGTAAAACAACAATAGCACGTGCTGTGTATAATTCAATTGCTGATAATTTTGAAGGTCTTTGCTTTCTCCATGATATCAAAGAAAACTCAAGGAAACTTGGCTTAGAACAAATGCAAGAGAAACTGCTTTCAAAGATTGCTAGAGTGGACATCAAAGTAGAAGATATCAATGAAGGAGTCGAGTTAATAAAAATGAGACTCATGCAAAAGAGAATTCTTTTGATTCTTGATAATGTTGACAAATGTGAGCAATTAGAAAAGTTAGCTGGTGATTGCAATTGGTTTGGAAGTGGTAGTAGGATCATTATAACAACACGAGACAAACAGGTACTTGTAATGCATGGAGTTGAAAGAAAATATGACATAGAGGCATTCAATGCTAAAGAATCTCTTGAATTGTTAAGTTGGAATGCCTTTAGAAATAACCAAGTAAATGAAAGTCACATGGAGGTTTTGAACCGTGCAATAGTTTATGCACAGGGTCTTCCATTAGCCCTTGAAGTAATAGGCTCTAACTTGTGTGGTATGGATGTAACTGAGTGGGAATCTGTGTTAGATTTATACAAAAGAATTCCCAATGAAAACATTCAACAAATATTGAAAGTAAGTTATGATGGCTTAAAGCAAGTTGAAAAAGAAATATTCCTTGACATTGCTTGTTTCTTTAAAGCCAAAGATTTGGAATATGTCAGGTATATGGTGGAACAAGTTCATGGTTTTGATCCAAGTTATTTTGTTAGAGTTTTGGAAGACAAATGCCTCATAAATATTGGAAAATATTGTATTGAAATGCATGATTTGGTACAAGACATGGGGAGAGAAATTGTTCGTCAAGAATCACCAAAAGAGCCAGGAAAACGCAGCAGATTATGGTTTCATCATGACATTATTCATGTTTTGGAAGAAAATACAGTAAGTAACATTAAGTGGGATGATACTTTTCCATATATATCCTTATGATTCTATTGTTATTTTCACAATTACTTGGCGGTGTAGTTATTGATTATATTTATGTTTATCAGTATTCTAATGATTATATTTATATTTTTTTACCTTATTTCATGTGAAGCCGTTAACTTATGCTTTTGGCTTGGAAAATAAATGCACGAAATTCTAATAAATGAATGGATTGTATGTGGATTTTTTTTTTTGGAGAAGATTGAAAAGTAGAAATGTGTAGTTAACCATGGTTGACTCATGGAATCATGAAATTTTGTTAGCTCTATTTGTAATCATATGGTTTAAATTATGATCAGGAAAATATTCTTCCGCTAATCTGATAGAATTTTTTGCTCTTCCTGTGCAATGTACGAATTGCATCTATTAGTGAAAATGAAAGCAACAATAAAGCAGAGTTTGTTCACTTATGCAACTTGCCTGTCTGTACATTGTTTACCCCTATATATAGGAGAGAATACAAAAGAACAAGTGAAAAGACATAACATGACTAAGAAAGCTTGAAACATAATAAATTAGAAAAAGATAAAAGTATTATGACTTAGCTTTGGTCAAAGAGTCAAAAGTATCCTTGGATCTTTCTTTATGCTAATGTATTCCATCATGCTCCCGCAAGCCTGTAGAAGGAAGCGAAGTGACTATGAAGCTCGACTTGAGTGTGTTGAAGCGAGATACTTGTAGAGTTTTGGTGAAAATATTAGCAAGTTGAACCTGTGATGAAATAATGGAGAAGCAAAGATGCTTGGAGGCTATCCATTCATCATAAAGTGATTATCTAGATTAATGTGTTTCTGGATTTGCTACAAGATAAATAGCTCCTATGTTGTCATAGTAAAGAAGAGGAGCTTGAGAGAGGAAGATGCCAAGTTCACCAATTAATGGCTGTATTCAGATAATGTCACATGTAGTAATAGTCAATGCTTTATATTTAGCCTCTATACTTGATGTTACAACTACTAGTCGTTTCTTAGAACTCCAAGAAAAAAGATTAGAGCCAAGAAAAATGGAAAAAAATAGTGGTTGAATGGCAATCGTCAATGCAACCACCCCAATCAACATTAGAAAAGGTAGATATTGGGAAGGATGAAAGTGGACGAACAAGGAGACGGTGATGTCGTGTAGGTATCAAAGAATTCTTTTGACAGCTGACCAGTATGGCTATATTAATTAGAGCATGCATGAACTAGGATACAAGATTAACAGTAAAGGAGATGTCAGGTCAGGAGAAGGCAAGATATTCAGAGTTTTCCACAATGCTTCGATAAAGAGTAGGATAAGAGAAGAGTTCTCCTTGACAGGTAAACAAGGAGATACCATAAGCTAGGGGGGGTTCGAGGGGTCGAGTAATAGGAATATGACATCACTGCAGAATATCAGAAATATATTTTTGTTGAGAAAGATAAAGACCATAAGAAGAGCGTTAAGCCTCTATACTAAGGAAATATGAAAAGTGTAATGTTCACCTTGACATTATCAATATTCACTACACAATCTTAACAAAGAATGGTAATAAAAAGCTTTAGATTCCTCTTAAATTCACCTCAAATATAGAAAGGTTAAATCTAATAAATCTTTAAAATAATTTGGAATCTTTGGGATCACAAGAAAAACCCTTCAAATAAGTAATTTGAGCTTAAACTTAATGTTTTTTTTTTATACATATGGGAAGCATGGAAAAGTTTGGGAAGCAAAACACTTGAAAATAGGGCTAAAAATGCTATTTTAGTACAATTTAGTACTTATGCCCTGGCATATAACACAAAAAGCTCAAGTTCACTACTGTACCGTATGCTACGGCATATGCAATTTATGCCGTGGTGTACATGCCATATCATGACAGGATTTTTGTTGTCATGACAGCATTTTTGTTGTCATAACAACTTTTTGGCAAACTTTTGATATATGCCATTTTCACATCCAATATTTAATTGGAGTGATTCAAGCAATCACCAAACACACAAACATTCATAATAGCATGTACATGTATCCAAATCCTAGGGCAACTTATACCTTTTTACAAACATAACTCATATCTTTAAGTCATTAACCAATTTACAAGGCTTTAGCGAGAAATCTCCATTCTTGACCTAGTTCTTTCCTTTTGACACCACTAGCACTAGAACCTAAAAAATTCTAAATAACCACTGGTGAGATCAAAATCTCAATAACCAATATAACTCATTTAATGTCTATTAACACAAATAACCGTATCAAGTAAACAAAACCAAATAATAGTATATATATTCCTTATAACATAACTTTTCTCTTTATAGATCATTTCCATACATTTTTACACACTAACATGATCATCTATCCATTAATCCTCCAAAGTTTTTTCGACATGAAACCATAAGCTCTACTAAATCAATCATATATTAACCAGAGCATACTTTTGGTGATAGAAACACCTAACTAAAAGTAATCTATCCCACTTATAGACTATGGTTTTGCCATCTCACACACTTGTGATAGATGCGTCATTGACTCCTAACTATATCCTAACAAGCACTAGGGAGTTGCTAGACTTCTCGGATGTCCCATGATAATAGTCCTATCATAATGCTGTATCGGATGTCCCATGGTACTAGCTTGTATATATAATGTTGCATTTGATGTCCCATGATGCTAGTTCGACCATATGGATTTCTTTACTCACATCTCCACACATATACATCCACACATGCCCTGGGTGAACTCCCATCCCTTATGATCATGTTTTTCATTAATTTTCCATAGTTTACACTATGTATATATATATTATATAGATAAATCAAAATTAGTAATAATTAAACTTCCATTTTACAAATCAATTTTATGCTAAAACTGTTTACAATGCAAAATCATGCATAAAAACTGACAACAAAACAATTTCACAATTATACAATTACTTATACATAGTTATAATAGCTAGTAAACATAATAAATTATTTAGTTACCTCAACCTTGTCATTCACAAGAAAGGTTTCCTGTGTTTTATAAAACCTTACTCAAGTCTCCTCTACTACTCAACTTGCTGCACATAGAAATCTACACAATTAAGGTAGCCAGAGTCAGCTTTTTTATTGACTGAAAGTGCTAATTATAGCAATTTAGCATATAATCATCATCATTTCCCCTATTCATGTTTATTTCCACCTTCTATGCCCAATCACTACTCAATTCGAGTACTAATACACCCACTATCAAATTTCTTTCAGTTTTCTCTCTCTAAATTAGGTTAACTTGAGCTTATAGTTTTAAAGCTTTATTGTTTCGACTCCAATCAGTCATAAAGTTTTAATTTAGTTCTAGAGCAAATTTCTATTACTATAGAGTAAGAAATTAACTCCTTAAAACTTTTAAATTCAATTTCTCAATGGCTCAAACTAAGAGAAAATGTGATAGAATTGGAGGTTAAGGCAGCACAAGAATTATCTAATAAGTACTAGGTCAGAAACATCACCCTTACTCTTAAGATCGCTTGTCCTGGTAAAGCTTTCCTTCTTCTCTACCTTTGTGCTCTCTTTTTCTTTATTTTTCTTCTATTTTTATGAGCAAGACACGTCTTTATTCACCAAGTTTCTGCACCATATATTGTGGTGCATCTAGCTTTAGCCAGTGTATGGCATAGTGAGAGAATTTCTTACCGTGCTCACACGCTTTGCTTCATAATGCCTTTCTCACACTCAAATTTGTTCATATAACATCCCAAGGAGTTAAAACATAATTTCACCATCCAGAATCCTAATCTGGCATTAAATTACTAATTCATCCCTTAATTAGCATTAATGTAAGAATTAGAAATTCAAGATGTTATAGTTCTCCCTTCTTTTTAAGAATTTTGTCCCTAAAATTGAAACAACTACTAGCACACAGATACCTAAGGGAAAAATAAGGGTATTGTTGTATCATCTTTGCTTATGTCTCCCAAGTTATGTCACCAGGAGTTATACCTTCTAGAACACCTTCACCAATCGAATAATCTTATTCCTTAACTACTTATTGTTCACATCTACTATTCATTCTAGTTTTGCTCTATAGGTCATGTTATTTTGCAACTCTATCTGTTCGGGCTCAATCATGTGAGAAGGATCTGGTTAGTATTTCTTGAGTCGAGACACATGAAATATGTCATAAATCCTAGATAGTTGTAGAGGTAATGCAATAAGATAGCCAACCAGCCCAATTTTCTCTAAAACTTTGAATGGACCTATAAATTTAGGAGTTAATTTCTTAAGTCTAATTGACCTCCTGATTCTTGTTACTGGCATTACTTTTAGAAATACATGTCACCTGCCAGAAACTCCAATAGTCTTCTTCATTAATCAGCATAACTCTTTTGCTTGCTTTGAGCTATCACCAATTTTTTCCTTATCAATTGCATCTTTTATGTAGTTTGATCCATGATCTCAGGCCCAACTATACTTCTTTCACTCAATCTCGTCTAACACAATGACGATCTGTACTTTCTTCCATATAGAGCCTCGTATGGTGCCATCTAAATGCTGGAATGATAGCTATTATTATATGCAAACTCAGCCAATAGCAAATGGCTATCCTAACTACTATGTAACTCTAACACACAAGACCATAGCATATCTTCTAAAATCTAAATAGTCTATTCAGTCCGACTATTAGTCAGAGGATGATAAGCAGTACTAAACTTCAAAGTAGTACCCATGGCTCTTTATAATGCTCCCCAAAAGCTGGATGTAAACCTCATATCACAGTTAGAAACTATATCCTTTAGTATTCTATGCAAATGCACAATCTCCTAAAAATAAGTCTTTGCCAACTTTTCTAGAGAATCACTAATCTTGATGGTTAGAAAGTGAGCTGACTTCATCAATTAGTCAACAATCATCTAAATGGCATCATGGCCCGATTATGTTCTTGGCAACCCAAAGACGAAATCTATAGAAATGCTATCCCATTTTCACTTAGGTATCTCTAACGGTTGCAATGTCCTAGCTGGCCTCTGATGCTTGATCTTTACTTTTTGACAAGTCAAGCACCGTGTTAAAAACTCAATCACCTCTCTCTTCATTCTTGGCCACCACCAGTGGTGTTTCACATCTTGATACATCTTCATAACTTCTGGATGAATGGTGTATTTGCTATAGTGAGCTTCATTTAGGATCACTCTTCTTAAGTCCGCATCATTAGGCATATAGATTCTGTCTCGGTATGCCACAAATTTATCATCATTAAAACTAAAATCTCTTAATAGATTCAACTCAACTTTTTCTTAAATCCTAAGAAGAAGACATTCGTCTTCCAGCTGTGCCATCCTCAATTCTTTCTAGAAATCACTACTGGTCATAGTAGTATAAGCACCAACCAGAGCTTTCAATGGTGCATTGTGATGAGAATTTATAAAAGACTCCATTAAAATGTGTTCCTGCACTATCAAACTAGCCATATGTAATGTCTTTTTGCTTAGCGTATCAGCTACTATACTAGCTTTCCCAAAATGGTATTTTAACTCAAATTTATAATCCTTGAGTAACTCCATCTACCTTCATTACCTCATGTTCAATTCTTTCTTATCTCCTAAATACTTCAAGCTTTTATGGTCACTATATACATTAAACACTGAACCATGCAGGTGATGATGCCAAATCTTCAAAGCAAAGACTACTACTACAAGTTTTAGATCATAAGCTGGATAATTCTCTTCATGTGGTCTCAACTACCTTAATGCATGAGCCACCACTTGTTCATCTTACATCAGCACATAGCTTAAGCTCTTTAAAGAAGCATCAGTGTACAACTCACTAATACAAGTGCATTAGTTAATTTCTCTTTCAACTTCTGAAATGCACCTTCATACCTATCATCCTAGATATAACACTGATCTTTTCGAGTCAATTTTATCAATGGA